TGTATGAACTTCTGTTACTTTTTATTAGATATTAGTGTTACTTCTGTTAGATGCTATTTTTGTGATTGCACTTTACATTTTTAAAAATTGTTTTATTTCTTTTTATTTATTTATTTATACAACAAGAAAAAAACACACACAAAAAACACAAATACCAAATTACACACAAATTACAAAAATAACCATAGACACATAATTTTCTTGGCAAACAATAAAACATCTATTGGTCTTAACACTAAAGACCCAACTTCCCGTCTATTCCATATTTCAAATTCATATTACGTATTGCCAATACACATTTTTTTCATAATTAAACTTATTCTCAATAAATCTAATTTCTTCTATCTACCTAGCAACTATCACTGAAGTTCCTCGAATGCTGCAACAGAATTTAAACTACTATATTTATTTTTCAGATATTCTTTGAAAACCTCCCATTTAGAAACAAATTCCTGTTTTGATTTATTCTTTATTTTTCTGATAAACCATCTAATTTGGCATATTCTGTCAGCTTTTGGATCCAATCTTGTATAGAGGGGATTTCATTACTCTTCCATTTTGCTGCGATCAAAACTCTTGCTGCCGCCGTCGCATATAAAAAGATACCCTTCCTCTTTTGTGGAATATCCAAATCTGTTATTCCCAGGAGGTAGGCCTCTATTTTTTTATTGAAAGAGATCTTTAGCATTTTTTTGCAGTTCTGCATGTATACTCTCCCAGAATACCTGTATTTTCCTACATATCCACCACATATGGTAGAATGTTCCTGAGTCTCCGCATCTCCAACAATTACTTGACACATTTTTATACATTTTTGAAAGTTTCCATGGTGTTAGATACCATCGATGTTGCATTTTTGAAAGTTCTCTCTAATTGTGTAACAGTTTGTGAATTTCCAATTGATCTTCCATAAATTTTCCCATTGGGCCATGGTTATTGGATGGCCAAAATCCTGGGACCACCTCACCATTGCCACTGTTACCTCCTCCTCCTTGACTGTCCAGTCAAGGAGGAGTCGGTAAGTTTTGGAAAGAGTTTTTCTTTTAGAGTTTACAAGATCAGATTCGAATCGAGAAATTTCTGCTGAGAACCCCTTTTGTTTGTCAGATTTAAATTTTTCAAATAACTGATGGTATTGGAACCAGTCTGAAATGTGTTCTCTTATCTCCTCAAAGTTTTTTAATTTTATTTGGTTGTCCTCATTTTTTAGAAGCATTTTATATGTTGGCCAGCTTTCCTGAGTATTTTTCCGTTTTACTGCTATGGCTTCTACTGGAGAAGTCCACCACGGGACTTTAGGCTCCATCAGGTCTTTATATTTTTCCCATACAGCAAAGAGTGACTTTCTTATTATATGGTTGGTAAAATTTTTATGAATTTTCGCTTTTCCATATATTAGGTAGGCGTGCCATCCCCAACGGTTGTCAAAACCTTCCAGGTCCAGGAGGTCCGGATCCTGCAACGTGCACCAATCTTTTAGCCAGGTGAAACAGGCAGCCTCGTAGTAAAGTTTTAGATCGGGTAGGGAAAAGCCTCCTCTCTCTTTTATGTCTATTAAGATCAGGTGTTTAATCCTAGGTTTCTTCCCTTCGCACAAGAATTTGGAAATTTCTCTTTGCCATATCTTGAGACAACCTGCTTCACTCAGTATCGGAATCATTTGAAATAAAAAGATTAATTTTGGAAGCACATTCATCTTTATAATGGAAATCCTACCCAGAAATGTTAATTTTAGTTTGCTCCAGATTACCAAGTTTTTCTAATCTCTAACCAAGTTTTGGTGTAATTATCCTGAAATAAGTTTATGTTCTTGGGGGTAATCCAAATACCCAAGTATTTCGCTTTTGAAGAGATTTTCAGGCCCAATATTTTTTCTAAGTCGTCCTTTTCTTCTGTGGTTACATTTTTAACAAGCATTTTTGTTTTTGTTATATTCAGTTTAAAGCCTTGTTTTTGTTATATTCAGTTTAAAGCCTTTTTCAATGTTCTATTTTAAATCATTGTAACCCACCCTGGGACCTTAGAGTGGAAGGTGGTTAATAAATTAAAACAGCAACAAACAAACAACAGCTGAGTTGTAGTTGTTTTGACTAAGAGGTTTCCTTACTCATCAAATAGGAGAGAAATATGGATTTGTATTTATTTCAGCATCTGTATGCTATATGCTGTGACCTGCTTTTGTCTGTCTGTCTGTCTGTCTGTCTGTCTGTCTCTCTCTCTCTCTCTCTCTCTCTCTCTCTCTCTCTCACACACACACACACACACACACACAATGAACTGAATGAGACCTGATACTGTATATGGCAAGCACTGACAACTCCACACACAACTTGCGCTTCTCAACAACCTTTGCCTAATTGCAAAGGCTACCACCCTGTCACAAAACATTCTCCTTGCCTGGCATGTTTAATTGAGCTCCTGAGAGGCAGCATCAGGAAGACCAGGGAGATAAATTACAGGGAGTTCCATTGGTTCCCCCAAGAATCCATTGATGTTTCATAAATCCAAGTCAGGACAAATCCAATTGAGTTACCATGCTGAATTAACTGACATCTAAATGGCATTCATGTCTACAAATGGAATAATTAGAGGCCCGAAAATGGGATACATCAAGAGTTATCCCAAGTGGCAATAGCGATGCATTTGCATTCATGCAATCAACTGTGCTTTTTAAAAAATGAAAATAACAGAAAATAACAGAAAGTCATAAAAAGAGGGGGCAGATGTAAAACTCAAGTTGGGGCTGATAACCAGATTTTTATTATTATTATTAAGGTTAAACAAGAACAACCCCCTCCGGGTTAATGTTAATTACATCTCTGTGCCCTTTTTAAGTATTATTTATTACAAAATATTCTTCCTTGCCCTGATTTCTTCATACTTTGCTTAAGGATACACCACAGCTTTGGGTTTTTGTTCTCTAGCAATGAAGACAATACTCTAAAAGAGTTCTTCTTTGTTGCTGGAGTTTCAAGGTGAATACTAGCTGTACAAGACAGACTAGTCCTCAGCACTATTAATAATGTTTCCCATACTGTGTGGAGCAGTCACTTCAAAGGAACAGCATTTTACAAGTCAAGGAGAGAGTGTGCTAGAGACTTGCAGTATTCTTGCAATACCTGATTGACTTTAGCTATGCCTGAGTACATAAGAGGGCCCTGCTGGATCAGGCCCATCTAGTCCAACGTCCTGATCTTACAGTGGCTTCCTGCAACAGTGCTGCTTTCACAGATTGAAGCGGTTAAGCAGGAATATATGTGGTAAGGTGATCTTGCAGGTAAGCTGGTCCTGAGTTGTTAAGAACTTTGTACACTTATATAAAAAATATGTTGCTTTTGGGGGGAGAAGGATAGCTCAGTGGCAGCCTGCTTGCTTTGCACGCAGAAAGGCTGAGATGGCTTACATCTCACAGTAATATCCATGATGTCTGTCATGCACTATGCCTCTGAATGTCAGTTGTTGAGAATCATAAATGGGGAGTCTACTTGAGAGGCTCAACCTGTGATTCAGGCTGGTTGCTCTAGCTTCAGACCACATGGCTCTCACAAGCCACTCCTACGAGTTCTTGTACCAATAATTTAGGAACTTTCATCACTTTGTAACCAAGCCAAGTTTTATGCCTGTGTGACTTTTTCTGAATGCTATATGGAAAAGCACATGAACCTGACCTTTGGAGAGTTTGTAAGCAAACCATTTTTAACTTACCAAACGTGATCTTTTTCAATACTTGGGAAAGAGGAAAACTTTGAAACTCCCTTTAAAGGAAACATGTTAATGTTTTTCAACCCATATTTCCATGCTTTACTTTGCTTCATGTTTTGTGAACCTCTGCTGGGGTTCTCAGTAGGGTTTTTCAGCAGAGAGCACTTGCCCCAAACTTGGATCGGGGCATCTAGGAATTCTCTTCTCTCTCTCTCTCTCTCTCTCTCAAGATATATATATACAGTGGTACCTCGGGTTACGTTACCTTCAGGTAACATAGTATCGGTTTGTGAACGCGGCAAACCCGGAAGTGCGCAGAAGCGGTGCCTCTGGATACGGACTTTTCGGGGTAAGTACGGACCCCTGGGATGAATTAAGTTCATATCCGGAGGGTCCACTGTATATTTCTCCTGCACCAACAGTATCTTCATGGAGACCCTATTCTTTTTGCCACAGTTTTCAAGGCATGCTCCCAGAATAGTGGAAGAATGTACTACATACCCACTGCTTGCATTACAGGGCAAAATTGGGCGAGGTGACAGAGCTATTTGCATTTTGCCAAACAGGAACTTTAGAACTGTGAAACTGAGGGAAGGGAAGCTTTAACGTTTGCTGAATGAAAATCATCTCTGCCGCCTGCCTCCCACTCCAAAGGCTGCAATTTGTTTTGTACACATCTGTTTTTCCTTGGAAGTCTAATGGACACTTCAAGAGTGGATGGTCATTGGGCGAATGGTACAATGGTGTGTGTGTGAAATTCAGATGTAAGAAAACAAAAGAAGACAATGAAAGGACAACCGAATCAACTGAAAATCCCCAAAATGCTTTGAAAAATGTTATTGTGCCTGCTGAAAGGGTTAACTCCCCAGAATAGCAGGTCTTGACCAGGATTCTCCCTCTCCTTTTAAATTTGATTCCACTCTGCACCACTTATATCCTTTAAATGGTAGAAATCGAACTCATCGTGGAACTCTATTTGTTTCACACTTTTGTTCCCAAATAATAAATTTTATTAATTCGCATTGATGTGTCGCCTAATAAAAAAATTCTCTAGGTGGTATTACACAGTGAAATAGATGAAATTAAGATACCATAGAACAGTGGGTGAACTTTTTATTTTTATTGTGAGATAAGATGAAGGTATACACAGGATAAATTGAAATTTTGAGGAAACCATGGAGGGAGACAGGGAAAGTCATAGGAATAATGATTGATTGCTAAATCTGAAATGCTGCTGAATTGTTTATTTGTTGAAAAAATATTTTAAAAAATATAAAAGAAAGAAATTAAAATGTCATACAACAGGTAAAAAAACACAACCCAATAAACCATTTAAAAACCAACAATAGTACAACAGTAAAATCTGGCCATAAAATCTGGCACAGACACAATTCAAACTCCCAGCAAGTAATAAAAAATGAGTGAAGTTACAAAGCCGAAACCCCAATATTCTGCTGAGATGAAAATGAAATAGCAGTGATGCCAAATAATATTACAGATGTTAAAAGGCCTGGGAGAACAAAGTACATATGTCTTGTTGTTATTAATATATAGTATAATTAGTGTGTGGTATTTTACAGAGTACGAGAAGTCTCATACCCAGGAGCACAATACAAAATTCAGCAGAAGGGAGATGGCAGTGAAGTTGAGAGAAGCTGAAGCAGGACTCAACAAGAGAAGCAAGAGGCGTTATTTCTGTCCATCAAGGGCTGTATGAGGAGAGGAAGACAGATCATGATCCTGGACATGTGAATTTAGCCACACATATTTCAACACATAGTTCGTACATCCTAGTAACTACCATATTTTTCGCTCTATAACACGCACCAGACCATAACACGCACGTAGTTTTTAGAGGAGGAAAACAAGGAAAAAAAAATCTAAACGAAATAGTGGATATATGATTTTTGTGGTTCATGCTGTGGCCACAGACATGTGATCTGACAGTGAGTTTGGAGTAGCCCAATGCAAAAATCCTGAGGATCCATGTGGATCCATGCTTTGTAACCACGGAGGAGGGAAGGAAGGGGAACCATGGATCCTCTGCTCACGACTGCAGCAGATTCCCCGCCAGCCGCAGGCATTTGCTCCATAACACGCACAGACATTTCCCCTTACTTTCTAGGAGGAAAAAAGTGAGTGTTATGGTGCAAAAAATACGGTATTTCTTTACTTGTATTTTTATATTGTATTTTATTCTGTGAACGACCCTGAGATCTTGTGATGAAGGGCGGTATATAAATAAAGTAAAAATAAAAATAAAAAATAAAAATAAATTTAGTGCCAGCCTTGTGGTTTAAACTCCTTGCTTCATTTGAAAGCATGCATGACCCAAACTGTGTGCATATCTTAAACTACAGTGAAGCTGTGATCAAATCAACATAGCTACTTGAGATAATGGATTCCTCTAATTCAGAAACCAGTCTAATTTGCATGCATATTTTATTTATTGCACCAATTAAGTTTGGCAAATACTTTGCAACGAGGTTCCTATGACCTCATAATTTACCATTTCTCCTGGGACAACAAGCCCAAATTAGCACTTTTTGAATAATTTTGCAATTTCCCCTCCAGGAAAAAGAAATACAATTTTACCTTAATGGATTTATTGTTTGCACATACCTTGCCTTTTACTAATTTTCAGTCCAATCTGTAGCCCAGCAAAATAGGTATAGCTTGTTTTAAATAAGCTTAGCTCCTGCGAAGTCCATGAGAGTAATTCAGTTTACAATGAACTACTTTTTTGTACGTATAACCAACACTGGTCTGGGAACATTCCTTGGATATTTCATGCTTGCTTTGACAAAATAGATACCCAATGTTTTAGCAATGAGCCTTGCAATATAACAATAGCAATCAGGAAACGTTTTGGGGGGCGGGGGGGGGGGGAAGCACTGGGTGTTTAAGCATTAAAGCATTAAAATAAATGGCCCAAACCAGGCTGTTGTGACACTAATTTTTGGTGTGCAGACATTTTCCTGGATTGTTCTTTGTTTTGTTTGAAGCATTTGGTATTCTGACTTTTATAGGGGTGTTGAGAAAGGGGGAAGTTGGTGAGGGATGGGACTACCTTTCTGCAAGTCTCCACAACTTGTGACCTCAAAGAAGAGCCCCCCCCCCCATCACACTCAGTGTACACCAAGCCCTGTATATCCTTGCAGTCTCTGGCAGGTGACCTCAAGCTGCTGGGTTTCAAGCCATCCCACACACCTGGTGGACAAAGTTTGGTTTAGCCTCTAACCCAGGGCTCAGCAAACGTTTTCAGCAGGGGGCCGGTCCGGTGTCCCTCAGACCTTGTGGGGGGCCGGACTATATTGGGGGGGAGAATGAATGAATTCCTATGCCCCACAAATAACACAGAGATGCATTTTAAATAAAAGGACACATTCTACTCATGTAAAAACATGCGGGCCAGATTGAGAAGGCGATTGGGCCAGATCCGGCCCCTGGGCCTTCGTTTGCCTACCCATGCTCTAACCCTTCATTTCCTTTGCATTGTGCTCTTCATGAACTTTATCCCCCACCACAAAATGTAGGCTTTAAAAGAGATCCAGTGCTTAATTGCTGTGGACGCCAGCTGCTGGTGTAGGCGTGGGTGTGGGTGTGTGAATCACAGCTGTGCACAACAACCAAGTCTTGATTTGAATCCATATCTGTAGCATTTAGAAGCAACTTGATCTGTTTCAGACCTGCTCCGCGTCATTCCAATTCAATCCATTCTTCAAGTCTGATCTGTAAAGCTGGAAGTTCTGTTTGCCCCTGTTGACTAGGAAGGGGAATCTAAAAATCATTCCCAGCCTTCACACACATTTATGAAATTTGCAGGCAAGCCAGCCCCTTCAGAGGCTTTAACCTGCCAATTTTCAGGCAGGTGCATCCAGAGGATTTTATGTAGGAACATTTTCATTTTTTTAAGTCTCTAACTTTTTATTTTCTGCCAGAATTCAGGCCTAGTTACCTCTTCTGAGGGGATGAAGCCTGCCAAAATCCAGAAGGTGCAGCTGTTTCCCTGCAAGAGCAGGCTTTGCCATTTGGGGAAGGGGAATTCCCTATCCTGGTTTCTTTGTGGGCCAGCAGTTTGAAAACGGGAAATGAGGGAGGTGTCCCTGGGTCAGAAATCTGCCAAAATTCAGGCAAATGACTCCAGGTGCTATTGTGCTAGGTGATTTACCTTTTTATTAATAAACTGGAAAAATCACATTTTTTATCTACTGCCTCTCCCTTTTCGGCAGTGCCCTCTGTGAAGATAATGAAAGACTTACAATTTTTAGTTATTTGCTAGGAAAAGAACAATTGATAAAGTATCAGGCCGCCACAGTTAAGTCACAGTTAAAGCTCTGAAGAGAATGGGAAAACTCTTGTTTTCTTCAGTGACAGAAACAGGGACTGAAGACACACCTCTTTACCCTGCCTTTCAACATTTGAGATTTATACTTTTGAACTCGCCTTATTTTTGTAATATGATGTTATTTTTAATATTGTGCTTTATGATTGTAACCTGCCCTGGGACGACAGGGCAACAAAGGCAACCCAAACTACAAGATCCCTCCCCCAAATCACAGCGATTGGAACAGGCTCAGAAAATAATCCACTGTGATTAAAAGCTGGACCTGTCTGTCAAAATGAAAGCGCCAGCCCCATCCCCTCTCCTTTCCCTCCTGGGGGTTTCCCCTGTGAGCTCAGTTTTTGTGTCTTGGAAAAGAACAAGGTTGTGGGTTTAACTTTTTGGAAAAACTGAGGCCCAGAGGGACATGGAAGCTTAGGGGGTCCCTGATCTGCCTTGCTAATGGTGCAATCCCAATGAGGCCTGTGGGATCAGGACCCAACACAGCCCAAGAGGAGCATGCCATGTGCCTGTTTGGAGAGAGGGAGGCCTGGGAGTTGTAGTCCACTCCGTATCGGAAGCCGCCTCTCTAGCTTGTCGTGGTTTCAGGCTTTGTTTGAGACCTTCCAGAGGTCCGTCATTGTCCGAAACGGGTTGCTGGATTAGGGCCCAAGTCTTCTGCATGTGCATTTAAATGGGTGACTCTGGGTTCCAGAATTAGAAAAGAGAGGGGAAAACATTCTATGCAACTCTTATCTGGTTTTCTTCTGGGGCAGGCACACACCAGATGAAAAGACGGCCATATTTTGTTGTTGTTGTTTATCAAATTTCTATTCTATATTTAGTGTGAGGAGATACTGAAATATTTTTATTTTATTTTATTTTATTTTGAAATATTGGATTGGGAGCCATGTGTTTTATATCAGTTTGATGTTATTTATTGTTGTAACTATAATATAAAGGCTTTTTTAAAATAGAGAAATGTTTATTTGCTTTTTCTTAAGGGAAAATCTCCTGAACATTCAGCACCTGTGACGCAGATAAACAAAGTTAGTCTAAACCTGAGGAATACAAAATTGTTTATATGTAATAAAACATGACGGTGCCGATTTAGATAATGCACAATGGACTTTATTAGATTACCTTTGCATTTGTAATCATTTCTGGGTGAGTGAGGGTGAGATTTGTGGTGGTTCATTTCAAAAAAGCAATAAAATCATTCCTTTTTTTAAAGGAAAAGATTAAAGGTTCAACATGATTGACATCTTGTCAACTGGACTACATTTGCCATGGCGCAATATTTTTTTGAACAGAGCAGTTGACAGTTGACAAGATTTGCTGACTACGATTCAGACGTGTTCTTCATGCAATACATGACACCACTGTTCATGCAGGACACAGCCTAAGTGATTGTTTATCAGTATACAAAATACAGAGCAAAACTGTCCCAGAGGAGCTGCAGCCTGAATAGTATTAGCCGTGCTTTAAACTGCAATGAATTCCCAGTCTGATTCACGATGAGGTTTCAATTTATACCACATTTAGAGTACTCCAGGTTCAAGTAATCACTGCAGTAATTAGCTTACTTCCAGTCCTCCAAAATAAACCCACTAATTTTTGCAATCAGCCTTCATTTGGTTAATCACCAGTTTAATTGATTTAATTACTTTGATCTGCAAAATTAGTCAAGTGTAAATACTGTTTTGTAAACAGACTTTAGCTCCAAGCTGTAATATAGGGAATTCTAATTCAAAGCTAGAGTTAATAATAAAACCAACACACACAATTTTGTCGTGGTATCCAGCAGTTTTAAGTCTCCAAGACACAGATTCATGTTTTGCTGGAGTTTGTTGAATATTCTGTAACGACACTGACAAAACAGACTGGATACCTCTCGGAGCGTTTTCTAGGCCCGATAGAACAATTCCCCATGCAAACAAGCACAAGTCTTCCTTTTGCTGTGCAAAACAATTAACTCTGCAAATGCTTTTTTAAAAAGCAATGCTTAAAGGTGTTTAAATGAGGCTTAATTAAAGAGTAGCATTAAATTGCAGTTAACTCCATTGTAAGCCATGCATGGTTACTGAAAACAACTGCTTGTGTTGGACAAAGCTGGTAAATAAATTCTCTAGCCTGGGATGGCTAGCTTCTGTATTTGTGGGGAGCCAGGGTCAGAGGTACCGGTACATTATCCCAGACAAACTGACTTGCTCATAGGATACTGGTTTCCATAACAGACTGGGTACTAACTAGGGGTAGGAATAGGCAAATCCACCCATTTTTATTTATCTCATTTTTCCAATATTAAGCTCCGTTCTCCACATTTCCACTGCAATTTTTTTTTACGCCTCCATGAAAAATTATCAGCATTTTACTGTGAATTTTTCCTATTATTATTATTTGCTTTTCCTGCTCTTCCTCCTCCTCCTCCCAAGTTGTCCGCAGACTGGGACTTAAGGGGACTTACACAAATTAAAACAACACACATAAAATGCTAAAAGCATATGAAAAATATTGGTAATAGTTAAAAAGTAATTAAAGTATAATAGAATGAAAATAGTCTTCACTTGATGGCCGAAGGAGAACTAGAAGGGAGTCAGTCTACCTTCTCTAGGAAAGGAGTTCCAAAGTCTGGGAGAAGTCACCGAGAAGGCCCTCTCCCACATCCCTACCGTGTGCCTGTGAGGGTGGTGGGGCCGAGAGAAGCCCCCCCTCTAAAGTTCTCAGAACCCAGGCAGGTTCTTATGGGAGAATACAATCCTTTAGGTAGCCTGGGACTAAGCGCTATAGGGCTTCAATGATCATAACCAGCACTTTGAATTGTGCTTGGAAACAGACAGGTAGCCAGTGAAGCTGTTGCAACAAGGGAGTTGTATGCTCCCTGTAACCTGCCCTTCTCAAAAGTCTGGCTACAGCTCTTTGGACCCATTGAAGTTTCCAAGCACTTTTAAAGGCAACCCCATACAGAGTGTGCTAAAGGACCCCATGATGGTTAAGTCCAGCCAAAGGCGACTCTGGGGTTGCGGCACTCATCTCACTTTTCAGGTCAAGGGAGCTGGCGTTTGTCCACAGTCAGCTTTTCTGGGTCATGTGGCCAGCAGGACTAAACTGCTACTGGTGCAATGGAGCACTGTGACAGAAACCAGAGCACACAGAAATGCCATTTACCTTCCCGCCAGAGCGGTACCTATTTATCTACTTGCACTGGTGAGCTTTCAAGCTGTTAGGTTGGCAGGAGCTGGGACAGAGCAACGGGAGCTCACTCCGTCGTGGGGATTCGAACCACCGACCTTCCGATCGGCAAGCCCAAGAGGTTACGGTGTGCTACAGTAATCTAAAATGGATGTAGCTGATATAAACCTTTTTGCAAAGCTCTGGGTTGAAGAATGGCATTGCACAATTTGGAGAAGTGTAAATTTCAACGGCTCGTGGCATCTTTCAGGAAGTGCAATTTTGGCAGATTCACCTTCTGGTGTGAACTGACTACCTCCCCCTCTGCAGGAGGCTGGGTTCAATGTTATGGAAGTCATTCACTCCGGAGCAGCATCCAAATACATATATTTGGATATCATGATGACCTACAAAACCCAAACAGAGATGTATCATTAAAGCTTGGAATAAATGTATATTTTTCTTGCAACTATATATTTCCTTTGCAGGTGAAATGGTGAGGAGACCTTTGATTATTGTTTCTTGTTGATTTTATCATTTGGATATTTTAAAGCGCTGGCTGGTTGGTTTGTTGGTTGTAAGTCACTTTGAGTTGCCTTGGACAAGATAAAGTGACTAACCAAATTTAATACATACATACATACATACATACATACATACATAGTTGTTTTGCTGATTTCTGATCATTTTACTGTTTTATTCTCTTTGTGAATTTCTGAGGGTTGTTGTTTTTTTTTACAATTGATCAGTGTATAAGTTTTATGAAATAAATATTTAGATCTCTTTCACTGAAACCAAAGGAGCTTAGTGGGTAAGACAGTCCAGGAACCAGGATCTTTCCTTCCAGCAGAAGGCATAGGAAGATGCCTTGTGCCCAAGTCAGAGCCTTGGCCCATCTAGATCTGCACTGTCAACATGAATGGGCATTGGCTCTCCAGGTTTTGAGGCAGGAGTTTATTTATTATGTATTGCATCTGTAGCCTGCCTTTCCCCCAATGTGTGGTGTACATGGTTCCTCCCTTCCTCATTTCATCTCCACAACAACCCTGCAAGGTAGGTTAGGGTAAGAGGCAGCGACTGGCCCAAGGTCACCCAGTGAGCTTCATGGCCAAGTGGCCATTTGGACCTGGGTCCCCCAGCTGTGGTCTAAACCACTGAGCATAGGGCTTGCTGATCGGAAGGTCGGCGGTTCGAATCCCCGCGACAGGGTGAGCTCCCGTTGCTCAGTCCCTGCTCCTGCCAATCTAGCAGTTTGAAAGCACGTCAAAGTGCAAGTAGATAAATAGGTACCACTCCAGCGGGAAGATAAATGGTGTTTCTGTGCTCTGGTTTCGCCAGAAGCGGCTTAGTCATGCTGGCCACATGACCCGGAAGCTGTACGCCAGCTCCCTCAGCCAATAAAGCAAGATGAGTGTCGCAACCCCAGAGTCGTCCGCAACTGGACCTAATGGTCAGGGGACCATTAATCTTTACTAGTCCAACACTCTGGGCACAGGCTGTGCCATCCACTGAGCCACAGGAGGCCTCTCCTTAGGGACGAGTCACAACAAGCCACAGCAACAGTCCCTGTGGCTCAATAGTGTCTACATCAGGAGTGGGCAACCTTTCTCCCACCACAAGGGCCATGCTAGTGGTGGGCGGGATCAGAGCCCCCTCACTCGCTCTGAAGAGCACTACCATTCCACACCACTTCTCTCTGAAGAATCGTAAGTACTGATGATGTGAAGAAAAGAAGTCCCCATTCCACCAAACCATATATTTTCATTTATTTATTTATTTCATAAAATTTATCCACCACTTTATTGTAAAAACAACAACAACCCTGAAGGCAATTTACAAAAGAATAAAACAACAGAATTATTCATAAAAACAGTTAAAAACAATTTTAAAATAAAATAAAATCAATTATAAACCAAGAACAGATTAAAATATGTCAACTGTCTACATATCTGAGTAGGCATGTCTACATAAAAATGCTTTTAGCAGGTGCCAGAAAGAGTACAGTGATGGTGGCTGACTGATGTCAAGAGGCAGGGAGTTCCAGAGTGCAGGAACCGAGCACAGAGTTGCACTGATTTCTTGCAAATGAAGAAGGCTGTTATGTGGTGGTTGTAACAGTGCCAGTTCCACAGACTGAAGTACCCAAGTGGGCATATATGGTTGCAATCCTAAAACACAGTTACTAGGGAGGGAGCCCTATTGAGCTCAGGATTGCCCTTTTATTGTCTGCATGTTATCACGCTGACTTAGAATCTGATGGGGCCTTGTAAAGGACAGAAATGAACATATTGGAGTCTAGCAACAACACACTGCTATTATTATTATTATTTAAATTGACAAGACACGGCCAACATTTGGTGCATTTTTAATTTCTACTAGGAAGAAGTGAAGATGTCACCCAGTTGCGTCTGGGTTGTTTGGATGCTTTCTATTCACAGTGACCCTAATGATCAAACTGAGGAGACAATATTAAGTCTGTTGTTCTGTAAAGAGCCTTCTATTTCTGCCCTGATATTAGAGAGTAATATGCCCCAAACAGATTTTTTTCCAGGATTGCATCTTGTCTTTTAGACCAGATCGGCATGTTCAAAGCAATCCCACCTTTTCAATAGTCCTCCCCCACTCCCTTGAGGGCTATCATATGAATATCATTTTCTGGAGAGGAGGCAGTCTAAGCAATGAGCCCTAGGAAAAGGGAAGGGGGAAAAACAGGACCCAACAGAATAGATTACATTTTTTTATCATGTTCGAGTTATTTGATTCCCCCTCCTTTTTTCTTCTTTTGCCAATGGTGCTCTTAACAGGGTTGCAAACTACCCATTGGGCACTCATTACCCAGCACAGGAGAGGGGGTTTCCTTGTAAATATGCATTAAACTGCGGTGGTGTTTGCCTCCACTTCATGCTGTGACTGAACTGAGGCAAAAACATGCTTGCTTGAAAGCTGTCACAGGAATGTTTTACTGGCCTGGTGTTACTGCCTAGGACACACACACACAGAGAGAGAGAGAGAGAGAGAGAGAGAGAGAGAGAGAGAGAGAGAGAGGTGTTAGCAGAAGAACTTATGAAGAGCCCCACAAAACCCCAGCCCATCTTGTCCTCACTGTGACCAACAGATGACTCTGGTAGTGGCATCCCCAGCTAGCATGGCCATTGATCTTGGTCCAGCAACATCTGGAGCACCACAGATTCCCCAACCCTGGTGTATGGGAAGCCCACAAGTGAGACATGAGGGCTCTTCCCAATTGGGAATCCCAGAAGCCAACATTCTGAGGTGTTCTGCCTCTGACAGTGGAGGTAATACACAGCTAGTTGCCATTGACAGCCTTTTTCTCTGTGAATTTGTCTAATCCTGCTTTAACGCCATCCTAGCTGGTGACCATCGCTACCTTTTCTGGTAGTGAATTCCATATTTCTAACAATGAAGCACTGAAGATGCACTGCCTTTTGTCTGAACTGAATTTCTTCGACTTCATGTGATGACCCCACCAGATCCCAGTGCTATGTGAGAAGAAATGAAAATCGCCTCTCTGTCTGCTTTCTCCAAACCATGTTTAATTTTATGTACAATGGTACCTTGGTTTAAGAACAGCCCTGTTTATGAACTATTCGGTTTATGAACTCTGCAAAACCGGTAGTGTTCCGGTTTGCGAACTTTACCTCGGTCTAAGAACGGAATCCGAACAGTGGAAGAGCACCGGCAGCGGGAGGCCTCATTAGGGAAAGCACGCCTCATTTTAAGAAAGGACTTCCGGAACGGATTAAGTTCATAAACCAAAGTACCACTGTACCTTTATTATATATCCCCTTTGCTCACTAAATATTCCAAACTGAATACATCCTATTAGTAAGATACTCTTACAAAATTCACAAAAATGCCATCATTAGACTTCTGCCAGCCTTTGATTAGCTATGGATTAATAAAGCATATCATTATTTAACAACAACAACAACCTGGGCAAGAACGCTTTTAGTTCTGACCCCAGCCAGCACTGCCATGCAATCTCCAGATGATTGCTCCAAGGGCTGTCTGTCCCTTCGGCTGCAAGGGGATTCCCACCCCAGCTGAATGATGTGCTCCAGAACCTTTTGTAATATAACAGGGTTGCATGGCAGACAGACTGATGTGGAAAGTGTTCCCTGGTGGCTTGAAAGCCAGTATTCTAACTTTTAAAGCCAGGGCTACCTCTACCTACCTGAATGCTAAACTCCAGGCAACCTTTCCACTATTTCCCCCTCTCCTCCCTCCCCCTCCCTCTCCCCCTCCCACAATGCTCCATAGTCCTTGTGTAGCTCCCGTGAATATTCAAATACTGTAATTGGAGATGATTTACATTGTTTTGAATTAGCTAAAATTCCATTGTTAAGCACAAATGCTGCTCCAGTAAATCATGGAGCTCTTAATGGGTCCGCGTGTTCAGGTTAGTGAGCCTGTTCAGATTTATCGTGCTCCCAGGGAGCTGACCAGTGTATTACGCTGCCTGCTGCTAGGTAATATGCATGACACATTTCTAGACACTAATTCATTTATTTAATAGAAGCCATATGCAAAAACAGGAGTTCAAAATGAGGCTGACAAAGAAGGTATAAAAGTTTTATTAATCCATAGCTAATCAAAGGCTGGAGGAAAGCATCTAATGGTGGCATTTACAGACCATATCGAATGTGAATAAATTATTTTTTTTCCCTAAAAAAAGAGAGAGAAAGAAAACTCTTATAATAGGATGTATTTTGTTGGGGACATTTATACTTTTAATTATGGAGGCAATCAATTTACTGGAGGCAGCTGGCTGAGATAGACTTTAAAAGAATCAACTCCAAGCAGAGAGAATCCTTTCATCATGTTTCTTAAAACCTTCCCCATTACTCCTTCTGCCTGTACTTGAAAGCTAGAACCAGAAGATTTGTAAGGATGCCACCCAAACTCTTGGGGGTCAAAATCTTGGGTTTTAGAACCCATATACAAATTTATTACTTCCTGGGCCACCTAACCGTAGATAGTGGCCAGAGGGTGGTACTGCAAGCAACCAGCTTTGGAGAAGTCACAAACCACATTACTTCTGACTTGGCTTCTCAGCAGCTTCTTGGCTGGACTGTATGGTATCTCCTTGTTCAGAGGCAGTCTACCATGCAATACCAATTGCTGCGGAACAAAGGAGAGCTGTTGCTTTCAGGCTTTACATGTGGGCTTCAGGGAGGCATATGGCTGTTCACTGTATGTCACAGGATGCTGAACTAGATGGGTCTTTGGTTTGTGCCATCTGGGATAGGTGGGTAGTTTGCCTGGTACTCTTCAACATTCTGAAGAATCAGGAGGAATATGCCAATGACGCAAAACTAGGAGGGAGAATTAGCACTTCAGAAGACAGGAACAAAATCTAAAACGACCTTGATAGAGTGGGATACTGCCCTGAACCCAATTAAGTGAAACTCAGAAGAGATGAATGTGAAGTTCTCTATTTGGGGAGGGGGAAAGAATGCAGCAAGCCACTTCTGTGAAGGCTTCCACTATTTTGGGTGAACCCATAAAAGTATTATTCACATTCACAATAAGATTCTAACTTAACCAGAGAGATTAAAAATGAACAACTTTTTTCTTATTCCATTAACACCCCCCTCCCCACAAATTTCTCAAACTAGGCCAGTTCTTTAAAAAGTAAGAAACATTAGAGCTATAGTGAATATTTTCCAGTTTTGATTGTTGGGTAGAAACTAGCAATTTTGGTGAGAGCAATTCCCCACCCCCACCCCCAGATAAGCACTTAGGTTGTGTGAATACTCACTCTTAGAAGATGGTGTGGAATGATTCCTGCCCACCTCAGACAGCTGGTTCTCCAGTGATGCTGCTCTCTGGTGCTGGTGCTTCTACATCCCTCTTCCTATGATTCTGCCCAAACAGAGGTTATGCTGCAATTAGAATGATGTCACAATGCTAGGCAGAATATTACATTTAGCTACAATATGCTGTCATGGATGCTAAGTGAGATCAACTGGGAGTGATTGAAAAGGAAGGAAGGAAGGAAGGAAGGAAGGAAGGAAGGAAGGAAGGAAGGAAGGATATTTTTTCAACTCCCCCCCCCACAAAAAATGTTTTCCAAAAAAAGCTGTGAATAGTGTCAATTCAATTTTAATAATTGTTACTGCAAGTGGTTTTGGAGAAGCCTACATTGGATTTCTCCAAAATTTCTGCTCAACAGCAACAGAAAATGTCTCAGAGATCACCATCACTGCCTTAAATCCCCAATCAAGTTAACATGCACTCCATAAACCAGCTGGACAAGCAAGACAATGTGGAAAGCCTAAAGGTTAAGTATGTATGATTGACCTTGAGGAGGCCGTGTTGTACAGATCATTAAATATATCGTGCTCTTCCGCTTCAGCTGGTCGTGGAGGGAAAGTGCCCTGGGAACATTATTCGGCACTGAGATCTTTCTACCTACCTTATTGTGACACAAAATCAATGCCTACCCTGTATCCCTCATTTCCTTGGATTATTGCTGGCTTTCTGCTGCTTTATGGAGCTTAGTCAGTGCAAAAACCCTAAATATTCACCCAGGAAACTGCCAAAATCTGCACTCAGATTGGGTGCATTAGCATATAGGGAAGTCCCTGCCATTGGCTGAGCAAAAGGAGGCTTTGCTTTAAGCAGCCTGATGTGTAGAAGGGGTTGGGATTGTGTCCACTGGTGCTGACTTCACCTACATGTATTCAACAGACCTTGTCACCAGGCCACATGCCTCCTGTGAAGTAGAGGCATAGCTCAGCGGAATAGAAATTATAGTAGTCAACCAATCCATCAGCTTCTGTATGTTCTTTCTCTTCAGTCTAGCTCTGTTCGGTTTCTCCCCCTTGAATAAAGGCCCTAGACTTGTTGCCTTCCTCTGTAGAACCAGAGAACATCAGAAGAGCACAGCTGGATCAGGACAAAGGCCCTTCTTGTCCAGCATCCTGCTCTCATAGTAATCAACCAGATGCCTATCAGAAGCTTGCAAGCAGGACCTGAGTACAACGGTGCTCTTCCAATTCATGATCTCCAGCAACTGGCATCCAGGTGCAACCCTAAACCAGATGGACCAATGGCCAGACTTGGCATAAGTCCTAAATCACTCATGGGAGATGCTATAGTCCATGGGAGCGTAAGAAGAGCTGGCTTCAAAGGTCCATCCAGTCCAGCATCCTGTTCTCACAGTGACCAAGCAGATGCCTACAAAAAGCCCACAACCAAGGCATTACTGCTCCTCTCCCCACCTGTTCCCCCAAAACTGATCGTCCACATTTCCCATTGTCCCACAATTTCTTCCATTTAGTCTATGACTTTTAGGCATGGGTCCAAGAGGTTTTTAATTTGTCCCAGCATTTTCTACAGGGAAATCCACAAACAACAACCTGAGAAAAACACTTGTTTTTTTCCGAATCAAGAGTAAACAGCTGGTTTTCCCAGGGAAAGCAATGGGACTAAAGAAGAACCTCTTGGACCCATGCCTGGAAGTCACAGACGAAACAGAAGTGTGAATGAGCCCTGATACATACTACCTATGATACTAGAGATAGTGCACAGTCATTAGGTCTGCCACGACCCACTGATAGCCTTATTCTACATGAGTTGGTCAATCCCCATTTTAAAACTGCCCGATATGGTATCAATCACAATATACTGTGATAGTATATTCCATAGTTTAGCTAAAAAATGGGTAACTAAGACTTTCGTTTTGCCTGCCTTGACATCAGAGAAGATGCTCCAGTCCCCATGTCACTTCTAGTTTCATAACAACCCATATTTTCAGGGGTTATCCAAGGGCAAGGTCTGCATTAGGAATGAGGAATCTATGGGCTCCAGATCCCATTAGATGGTGGGTTTGGGATGGTCATATGGCCAGTGGCTGGGGTGATTGGAGTAGTGGTCCAGCAACACCTGGAGGGCCACAGGTTCGCCTCCCCTGGTCCAGCTCAAATAGATCTGAGTCTGGTTGGTACCTGGACGGAAGACCCTCTGAGAAGCAGGGGGTGGGCACAGTGTGCCATTGTCAGTTCCATTGTGGAGGGAGGGTGGGATGTAAATAAAACAAATAATCAGGAGTGATGAAGAAGACCATGATGTAGCAAGTCAAAATCCACACAGAGGTGTGACTCATTTAAAATCAAAGCCTTTGTCATCTGTTCCAGCCCTGTGTCCGCCACAACTCAACAATCCAGTGGGAAATGGCAGCTCTTTCTTTGGAACATGGAAATATTTATTGTCTAACCCGCCTGTTCACATCCGTCAGCCGTGAAAAGTCACCACTGCTTTAAAAGACAATCAGTTTTAAGTAATGCCATCCATCACAAAACAGAACAGAGTGAGCAACATTTCCTCAACTGCAATGAATTATACAAGGGTCAGCTCACTGGAGTCGCGGTTGGCAACACAAACATTGGCCTCAGGTAGGAAACCTATCTTTCCAGCTGTTCTTATCCATATGGGTTCAATGAACTGCAGACGTTAGAGGCCTTTAGCTTATCGAGTGTGGCTGCTGGAGCTATTCCATCTAACTGGCATCATAAAACAACGAGGGAGGGAGGTGAATGCAATTCATCTCCCACTCATCTAGTTGCCAACTGCTGACAGAGGAAGAAAATGGAGATGTAAGAGAAGTCGACAGATGTGGTGAAGGAAGTACAGGTGCTCCTGTATTTGAAAACAGGCAGGGATTTGAGATACATCACCTGCTACTCAGGGGCATATGGCACCTCACACTGGACTAGTTTCTTGTGCTTTGGGAAAATGTTATGGTCACTGGCATCATCATCATCATCAATGCCCTTTGTCTCTTCAGATGAGACAACTGAAGCTCACACAGCATTTAGTCTTGAGCCTCATCCCCTTAACAGTGACTTTATACATGAAATACTGACTGGCTTTTTCAGGGGAGGGTGAAATGGAATATTCTGAAAGAGGGAATGGCTGGAACACTAAACAGCAGCACTTTGTTGCAGCCGCCACTAGTCTTCTTCCACATTTTATCTTAAGACTTTGACTAAGGATGGACTTTGTTGCTTCAGTATCATGCAAGCTTTTTCTCTCTCCCTTCCTCCTCCTTTGCTTAATATTGTTTATATACTGCTATTCATTAAAATGAATATCAAAGAGGTTTACAACAATTAGACATAAAACCATACCATTAAAAACAGGTTTTTAAAAGCTAAAATCACAAATGAGCAAGCTGTTGTGGAAAGATGCCTGCATAGGCCTGACTGAGTAGAAAAGTTTTCAGCAGAAGTTGAAAAGTTGAAACAACATTTTCTGAATCTCTGTGGGTAGAGCATTGCACCATGCTCTACCAGGATGATACCAAAGGCTTGGTTTATTGTGAGTGTCAAATGAGCATCACCAGCTCCTGCACTTGATCTCAATGACTGATATAAAGGTTCAGGACCTAAGTTGTTCAGGGCTTTGTTAATTAATTCAAAGACCTTGAACCTTCAGCCAGCACAGACGCTTTAAAATTGTGTTGCTGCTGACCAGATGTTCAGCAATCTGGCCGCCACATTCTGCACCAGCTGGAGCTTCTGAAACAAGCCCAAGGGCAACCCCACATAGAACTGTAGAGTTGGAAAGGACCCTGAGGATCATCGAGCCATGGGCTTCCCAAACTTGGGTCTCCAACTGTTTATGGACTACAGTTTCCATCATTCCTGTTCACTGGTCCTGCTTGCTAGGGATGATGGGAGTTGTAGTCCAAAAACAGGTGGCGACCCAAGTTTTGGAAACCCTGATCTAGTCCACCTGCCTGCAATGCAGGAATATACAGGGATCAAACCTCCAACCTTGGCATTATCTGCACCATACTCTTATCAACTGAGCACATTGCAGTAATCCAACCTCAAAGTTTACCAACACATGGGCTACAGTGGTCGGGCTCTCTAGCTGATGAAGAGTTCTGGAGAAGTCCCAAGCTTGGTTGTGGTTTAGTGGTGCTTTGCTTGTTCTTGTACATGTATTGCCTGATTGTGGATTCTGAATGTCTTTGTCTTATGGACCAACACAGCTTTCTTTACTTTTTGTTCCCACGGCTTAAGAATTTTCTTTAAACAATATTTTCTGGAGTTACCTCCAGCCTCCTTGAGCAGGGATGGTGCTGGGTTTGCTACATGAGGCCTGGTGACACTCAGAGAATTGCATACAGATAAAGTGGACAGACACATCCAGCGGCATCTGGAACTTGCTACACAAGGAGTTTTAGATCATCTACCACTTTCTATACCAGACATTAAATTATGTAAATATATTAACAGACATTCAAAATATTGTAATAAAAGGCTTCCATATCCTTTCATCTCTCTCTCTCATCCTTGGGGTTTTAAGTTTTCTCTTTTATTCTTTAAGGACACACAAGGTTATCCTCTAGATTAAAAAAAAAAAAAAGCACCACTATTGATATTTTAAGCCACTAATGATGTCAGGTATCTTTTGTAGGACAGCAGTTTTTTGTTTTGTTTTGTTTGGCTGGGAGCACTGTGTGTATCAACAAAGGAATTCCATTTGTTTCATGAGGAGCATCCACACACTTCTTGAATTTTATTTACTGTGTGGCTTTCCTACGAAACAGAATTGCATTTTAGATTTAAATGTTAGGGACAAAAGTAAAATTTGAGATGTATTATTATCAAATCTTTGGTTGCAATGCCCTGTCCAAGACTCCTGTGAACCATTTGATAAAGGTACTGTATAAAGGTGTATTTTTCAATGTGCTTTCTTCTCTCTATGCATTCCTTGTAAACATTGACTAAATCCCTACTAGGCTTGGCCACATGCTTTGTTCAAAGGCGACTCGTCAATGAAGGGTTGCTTGAGAGGGCTAGAAAACAGTGTATATGGGCATCTGAGCTCTGTAAATCAACTTTGGTAGCACAACAACTCATTTGACTGGCTTGTCCAACGTCTGAAAATACACAATTTCTCCAGGAAATTAAATTGCTGGTGTCCATCTTATTTACTCTGTGTTATATTTCATCTACTTTATTTTATTTTCTTCTCTTTTACTCTATTATACACATTTAGATAACATGCTTTTTGGGCTCCTTGCTTGTTTCCTTGGTGCCAGTTAGATTTGAGTGGGGGGCAGAATCTATTAATGATTATTATCACAATCATAATCAATTATTACAGGAAAGGATTCTTCAGGAAAAATTATTTAGATATATTTATTTTTACCCAGCACAACTAAAATTAATATCCAGCTTTAGTACTATAAAATCTGCCTAGCTTCTCTTCATTTCTGTTTTCCACCTGCCAGGGAACCTGCTTTAAAATGAGATGGATCTAGATAATTGGGTGGTTTTGGCATTTCAAAAATGCTCCTTCTCACCTAGCTGAGCCTCCGTGGAATGTCTGCTGCCTCCTCCCGCATTTCATCTTGAGACATCAGCATCAGCCAGTTCCTGCCTCCACACCCTTTGCTGATCTTTCCCACTTCTAGCCTTTACATAGCCCATTTGCACAGTTGCCCCGCCCTGTGTTCTGTTTCTTGGTCACATTTAAAGCATGACAGATTGGTAGAATGGAACGGAACCCTTTGTTCCCATCTCCATTTTTATAACTTCCTCTTTTTATGTACTTCTATATTTTCTCCTCAAAACAGGCACACAGGGGCGGAGGAAGGGGGTGTGGGGGTGCGGTTTGCCCTGGGTGTCACCACTGAGAGGGGTAACAAAATGCTGGGCAGCATTCACCATGGGGCCTGCAGCTCTCCTGGGAGGGACGCAGCAGTTTGGGCGCCTGCAGGTTCCATGTTGCCAAAACTGTCCGCCTGCTGCCTCCCCCCCCCCAAGCTGTAGGGCGGCTGAGTGGGAGGAGGCAGGCAGATTCCTTGGCGGCCCCATGGTGTGCCCTGCCCCTTTGGGTGGCTGGCCCTGCCCTGGGTGCAGCGCCCCAGGCACCCGAGCAGCATCCTCCACAACTGCAGGCACAAACTGCTGTTTCCTCTGAACAAGGTGTCTGTCGCTCAGCTTCAGACAGTTACATTTCATTTATTTATTTCACAGAATTTATACACTGCTTCACTGAAAGTATACACCTCACGGTGGTTTACAAAAAATATAAAACAAAAAATTAAGAATAATTTAAAACTTCTGAAAAGTTGAAATACTGACAGACTAAATGCAAATTAAAATCTGCACCACTTTTCTAAACATCTGAGAAGTCTTGTTTAAGCAATAATGTTTTGAGCAGGCACTGAAAAGAGCACAGTGAAGGCGCCTGCCTGACATCATAAGCAGGGAGCTCCAAAGTGCAGATGCCGCCACATTAAAAGAATCTTACAAGCAGGGAATCTTACAAGCAGGGAATGGGTTAGGGTTATCAGTGGCGTCAACTCCAGGGGGCCTTGAGGGCCCTAGCAGTCACAATTTTTTGTTGTGGGAGCTCAGCCCCCCTGCTGTGTGCCCACAACTGCCACCCCCCACTGACACCACTACCCTGCTGCCACTACTGCCATGCATGACCTTACTGTGAAACTGGGGCCTGCTGCGGCCTCTGGAAGGTCCAACCTTTCTTGATACCCTAAGCATGTGCTTAGTCTGCCTACTGGGTAATCCAGCTCTTTTCCTCAGACTTACAATTTCACATATCGGCTACCTGTTTTCATGGCTTGGCTACCAGCGCTTCCAGATGAGGCATGACTCTTTCTTTGGGCAATGGCCACACTCTCACCCTGCCTACAAGGGCTTCCTGTCCTTGTCCCTTTCCTTCCCAGCCTGCTAGCTTCCCTGTCCACATCCTTTCTCTTCTACATGTCTCTAGGGGGACTTATCAGCGTGGATCTCACCCAGTTATGAACTTTGTCTCTGAACTTTTGAAGCTGTTCAAGTCATTGTGACCAATATTGTCTCCTCTGAGCTCTCCAAGTCTCTGGCAGAATTTTTTCCACATCACCTATTACCTTACTGGAAATACCAGGGATTGAATTTGGGATATTTTTTTGCATGCAAAACAGGGGCTTTGCCACTTCCCTCAAGTGGGCTGGTTCTCCAGTGGGTCTCTTCCATCACTCAGTCCCTCTTGGGTCCCAATCCTGCCTAGATTCATGCTTCCACTCCCTGCAGGCCTTGGACGTCCTTCAACACTGCATAATTTAATTCAGCCTTTGCCAACCTTGGACTATACGCCCCATAAGCTCCAGCCAGCACAGCTGTAGTTCATGGGAGTAGTAGTCAAAAATATCTGGAGGGTATCAGGTTGGGAAAGGCTGCTTTAATTGCCCTGATCTTCTTGTGCAGCATTTATCTTGAAAGCTACTATGAGTACAGCTCATCCCTTTTCCTCTCTCTCTCTCTCTCTCTCTCTCTCTCTCTCTCGTGTGTGTGTTGAACTTGAAAGCATTTACTAGCATAGGTAGCTTCTGTTTTATTTGCTCACAATTAATCATGCACCACTGTAAACAGTGTCTGTTTTAGTTCCGCTGACAATTATCCACTTGTCAGCTTCTCCCTCAAGTACCTCTAGCATCTGGCAATGGTAAATAATTTTTATTTTATTTTTTACTTTCAAAAGGGAACTCCATCAAAATGATCGTTTTGCCTCAGTTGAAAGACATCCATGTGGCAGCTTCCCATCCATTTTCAAAACCGTCGAAAGGCAAGCTTTGGCGGGGGGGGGGTGACTTGACTCTAGGCCAGGGGTCAGCAAAAATTTTCAGCAGGGGGCCGGTCCACTGTCCCTCAGACCTTGTGGGGGGCCAGACTA